TGTTATTGAACTTGTGATTTAAAATGTATTTTCAAATCCATCTTACTGTTTTTTTTTGAAGTAATTGACTTGAATAGATTTCTAATAATACACATTTTTCACTACAAGAAAACATGACATAACGACTGCACATTTGGTAATTATTTGGTCGTAAATCATTAATTACGACTAAATAGTGACGCAACACAAATGATCGTTATGATTCCGTCGTAATTCACAAATTGTCGTAAAATAGACGTAAAATATACGACCAAAAGATTTAGTCGTAAAGCAGTTGTAAAGCGTGTAATCATAACTTAGAAGTTGATTTGATGTAAAGTTGCGTCTGAATATGTGCACATGCATTGGTCGTAATATGTGGTCGTAAAATAGAAACACCTTTTAAGTCTAAACGGAAATTTAATGAGTCGTAAAATTTACGACCAAATAACATCATCTACAATTGTAATGTGGTCGTAAAAGTTACAATCAGTTTACCTCGAAAATGTAAATAGTGGTAAAGTTGACGTAATATTTACGATCACTTTACTTCGAAACTTTTTAATTCATTACGACCACTTTACGTCCAAGGGTATAAATTTAAATTTATAAATTTTAAATTAATAATTTATAATTTATATTTTTTAATTTAAATATTTATAAAATCTTTCAATTTCTAAAATATTAAAAATATTAACTTAATAAATCCAAAATCATAATGTATTCAAATTACAAAAAAAAATTATTAAGGTTAATGTTTTCAAAAAACTGGGAGCTATGCTCCTCGGCTTCTTGCGCCGCATTCGCCTGCTCTTCTGGAGTTGGATCGGGGTTGATGGTCAAACGTCTAGATTGTCACATCTGTGCAAAGACTGAGTTTGTTTCTGCAATAATATCAAATATCTCAGTCATGGCTCTAATGTGGTTCATGTTGGGTGGTTGTCCGTCCGGAGGATCGAAATGACTTGGTTGGCGTTCGTCGAATCGGCATGGAGCTGAGAATGTTAATGCAGTCTTACTGCATGTTCAGCTCTAGCCCTCGGGACATCGTTCACCGTACCAATCTCGATCATCCGTCCCGTTTTCTTCAGGATAACCTTCATTCGATGAAAAAAATATAAATTAAGTTAGTACATATACAAACTTATAATTAATAATTAAAATTGAATAATAATTTACCTCCTCAAAATTTTTGTCTTGTTCGACGGTGGTTAATTGGACGGGTTTCTTTGTTGCGACAACTGGGTCTGGACTTCCTGGATCCGAACCTCAACATCGTTGTAGATCTTCTCTGCTAGAGGATCCACAAACGTCCCATCAGAATGCTGGTAGTCAACTTATAAAATCAGGAAAGAGACGGTGGTGCTCCTTCCCGAGCAGCCTACCAAAATGTAGTAATGTGGAGTAAATCATCTATTTACTTTATGTTTCCAAACTGTTTCACTAAGAGCGAATTTGGTATTCTTGCACTTATGATAGAGACAAAACATTTTACCCGTTTCATGTGTGAGAGGTGTGTTTCCGGTCTGATACATGAATATTTCTGCCCCGTTGAGGAACTCGTTTGTCACCCTTCCCTCATAATTTGTATGTACATACATCCAACTTCTAAGCTCATAAATATCTCGTGATATTTTTTTTACTCGAACTTGTTTCATTTTTTTGGTGTATCTAAAAAATGAGAGATGAGACCATATTTATAGGAAAATTTCAACATGTAATGTTACGACAAATTTACTATCAGATCATTTTACTACAAATTAACTAATTTTTGACGTAATTGAAACGTAAATTAGATGCTAAATGTTTAGTCGTAAAATGGTTTTCGGTAACGACTTATTTACGACTACATTTTTATTTCGTCGTAAAACAGATTTTATTTTGCCTTCTATTTACGACTTAAACTTATGGTCCCAACTTTACGTTCTCTCTTTAAGAAGATTATATATTTTGTTGTTATTTTGTCATTAAGTAGACATAAAATTACGACTACAGTTTTTTCGTCGCAATTTGTGGTCGTTAAGTCCATGTCGTGTAGTGTTTTGGTGAAGTTTATTTGTTACATACAAATTCAACTCTCATAGTTCTACGTAAGATTGTGAGTAGCTTAATTAAGACAATTGTAATTTTTCTAATTCACCTAAAAACATCTTAAAACTCACCAAAAATCAAATCATTCAAACCATCTAATATACACACTTACCTTAGTTATTTGGGTTAGTTTGATAAATTTGGTTCAATTTGAATAATTCTACTAAATTTAATGTATATACATCTTTCATCTATGACTTGTTAAGTATTAAGAAGTTAGATAAAATTGAAATAGAACAGAAATCTATATTATAATAGTTGAGTTTCAAGATTCCTCAACGCGCCACATCAGCATTAGGTGGGTCCCACTTTAAAAATGTGAAAAAATGTCAAACATATGATTCGAACCCGGGTTATTAAGAAACAAACACTAACATTCATACCACTAAACTATAAGATAACTTGTACATTGATGGCCGAAACTAATATATATTTAACCGGAAGCCTTTGCATCTATGGCCTTCTTTAAAATTCGGGCCTGGAAGTGTATTATGAGTTTCATTTTTAATTGGGCTTCATCATATTATATGAAGAAAATCCTCAAGTTTACAACAGTTATAGTTTTCCCATATTGTAAACCGTTAATGTTTAAAATGAGTTAAGATTCCTTTCACCATCGTCTCATACAGGTCTGAGTTATAAAGCTGTGTCGTGTGTCTGTTCGTAATCTATTTTTTTCACCGGTGAACTTTTCATCTCCCCATCTTACATCGCTTGATCATAAATGTTCCTGATTTGTAGCCCATCTGTAAATCATATATATATGATTCTCATCTTTGATGAACCCTATGTGCATCTCCACAAAACTTATCTATTCCTCTTAACTTTAACCATCTTCTAGAAAATGTCTCTCTCTCATTCTCCAGTTCCTAAAACTAGCGTCACCGGCATCCGTCATGCAGCCTTCAAGTCTCTCTGTCATGTTAAAGTAAACATAAGTCATACCAACCAAATTAACATATAGAACTCAAATCATTCAGTATGGGTTTTAGTAAACGAAACTAATAATAATAGAAATAAAGTCATACAACAAATTCAAACCTTCTTATTGCAGGTTCCGAGAACACCGAATCAACAGAGGTTCGCTGAGTAAGGAATGCGATGGAGACAGCCTTAACTAAGGTGAGCTAATCTCTCTTCCATGTTGCTATAGAAAAACCATAATTTCACAAAATGACACACTAAAAACACACTATTGAAGATGACGAGGAGAAACAAAAAAGGCGAGTAAACAATCCAGTTTCAGATCTAAATTGAGACTCAAGACTCATCAAATTTCAAGTCCAATCATTTAAAACCCAGCTACTACATTTTCATTGTGTTCGAATATAATCCTATACGACTAAACTTTTTAATCTACCACTCCCATTTTTAAACTACCACAAAATATTTTTGACAAATATAAAAAAAATAACTATCTTAGTCATACATGTATACAATTATAATAAGCCTTAGCATTTATTAAACTACAGTACTTATATATTTTCAAAACATGTCATGGCACATTGAAAACAACAAACTATATTTCTTTTCGAATAACAAAATTATTTCTTCTTCGTTCCCTTATTATAGTTGTATAGTAACAAATACCAATACCTATATTTGGTTACATATGGTTATTAACTCACTAATAATATTAAGATCCAATTAAATCGTAAAAAAATGTAGAAATACGAACACATATAAATTCGTCAAACACTCTTATCTGTAAATAAAAACAGGTCTTTACTCACTAATAAATATTGATCTCTAAACCTTCCACACAACCCCTTAACAAACATGTTTCATCTTTTTCTCTTCAATCCATTAAACTATATTTCTTTGTATAATTTAATAAAATCTTAATTTTTTTTAAATGCTAATTCACTATTTAACAATAATATACTACTAACCTACAAATTAGACAATAAGAACATAATAAATCACACATCCTAGACATAAAAGCACTAATAACACAAATATTCGAGAAAATCATTACTAAAATAATATATGAATTTTCACTCATTCATATACCAACTAAATTCAATCGGGTTTTCGGTTAAACCCCAAACAAAAAAATATCTAAAAAATGACAAAATCTCATCTATAAAACATCATAACGCATCATCACTGTCTCCAGCTCCGCGCTTGCGCGGAGCTATGAACCTAGTTCACATAACTCGACTGAATCAAATAAACTAGCTAACGTAAAAAACTATACATTTTGGATTATTACATAGTTTGGTTTGGATTAGGACTGGTGAATTTTTGTTTGGTCATGTTCGGATAGATATTCATGTTTAGTTCGGATCTATTTAGATTTAAGGTATCAGTCCTATTTTAGTATTTATAAATTTTAGTTTCGATTTGGTTTGGAGCTGCGAATTTAGTTAGGGTTCACATAATTCATTTAAATTATTTTTAAAATTTAAAATTTATATATTTTAAATTTATATACTTTAAATTTATCAAATATAAAAATAATATATAAAATTAATGTATGCAAAAATACATAAATTTAATCATAAAAATTGGTTTGACTTATATATTTAGATAGAGAATCAATAGACATTTTAAGTATTTTTAGTGTTTTGAGTATTGTTAACTATTTTAGATATTTATGTTTGACTATATGTATATATTCTCCAATGTTTTGGAAATTTTCAAAATATCTTTTACATTTAGATATTTTTTTAATATTAACTCTAAAGTAACTAATATATTCAAGTATATAAGTCTAATTCAAATATATTTGGACGTCCAAAATATTTCGATTCAGGTCGGGTTCAGTCTAGTTCTCTAGATAACCAAATATTAAACCCGTTTAGATATTTAACCAATTTTGATTCGGATTGGATCCGGTTCTGTTTTTCTGGTTCGGATATTTTGCCAAACCAATCCTAGTTAACTTCTTTTACTAAGTAACTGGATTCCATGATTTTTTGTTTACTATTTGCGTAAATGATCGATAGATTGATTCACTCTCTAATCAGTCCAATACGTGGTAAGAGTTGCAATGAGCAATCTTTTATTATAGATGGAAACTCACTCGAACAATATGAAAAAGAAATTACAAACTGAAAACATTACGATTCCGGTTTTCTGAAAACCAGATCTGGTTTATAGAAAGACTCAGTAGAACTCGTAACCGCGGCTTAGTGGCGAGCTAGAGCTGCTGGCTTGGACCGTAGCTGACGTTGTAGGTAACCATTCCTCACGCATAGGTTCGTCAACTGGGTAAACAACGAGCTCGCGTACGTTCATGGGTTGGATCACATTTGGATCAGCTCCAAAAAGAAGATGACCGAACATTTCTTGTGCTTTCTCGGTATTGTGACGCCCATCAAAGAATAAGTAAGATCGTTGGTACTCGCATAGCTTGGAGTGAACGTTAGGAAAACCGCAACCATAAGCATTGTGTGTCCCAACACCGCAGCACGATGCGTTCGTCACAAAAAACCCTAGTAAAACAAATTTTAATATGAGTATTCAAATGGTCTATAAACAGACTTTTGATCAAAAAAAACAAAACGTCTATAAAATAAATTAATTAAAAATTAAAATAATAGTTGTAATTAAGCAACTCACGGTAGTTGAAGGATCTCTGCGTCCTACGAAGTATGACATTGTAGAAATCAAAGACAGTAAACTGGAAACCGGGAGTGGTTCGAGCCATTTCGTTTAACATTGGTCCGATTTTCTCGTTGTGTTGTATAGCCAAATTGTTGAGAGGTTCGTAGCATTGATCCATTCCGGTTTTGTAGTCTTGTCTAACTATCGGTAAGCAACCCAATGGTGCTAAGGTTTGGATCACGAACTTACTAGCTCCTGATGAATACAACAAGCTGATATCATTCTTTAACTTGTTTGTCACTGAAGTGACGAAAGCTTGTTGAGCAGATGCATCGGCGTTAGGGTTGTTCTTGGTGAAATTCAAGTAGTCGTTAGCACCAATGTATATCATAAACACTGACTTCTTGATGAAGTCGTCACCCCAGTTTGCTGCTTTCATTTGATTGAATTTCCTCACTTGTTGACTTAAAGTCAACTGAAGAAAATAAAAGAAAAGATTCCATGTTAATATATAAATTTCATATATTATATGATTTAGGAGTAGTGAAGCTTATTGACTTTCTTAAAAGATATTGGTATGTGTTAATGAATATAAAACAAAAGGACATCCCACTTATTCAGGTATGAGTCAAAGAGGACAGTTTAATACTCCATCAATATAAATGTCATTTTGATATATGTCACACATATTAAAAAAATAAAATAAAATAAATTAATATGTTTTTATTTAGTATACAATTATTTAAATAATAATAATTTTAAAAATATATATTAGCTGGTTAAAAAGTTAAGAAAGAACTTATATTTGAAAAAAATGTAGTAGAAATATAAAATAACATTATTTTAAAACAATAAAAAATGGTAGAATGATTTAAAAACATATAAAGTATTATTTTTACTTAATATCAATAAATAATTTATAGTCATGGAAAAAACAGAACTTACCGATTCCACCGGAGCTCCGAGAAGAGTAGCATCAGCCACGGCGAAACTAGCTCCACGTGAAACATTGACGTTTGGCTTAAGCGCCGCCGGGATTTGGATCGGAATATCCATGAATTTTGCTGCATGTTATATCTTTATTGTTTCAAATATTGCAAAAAAAAGTTTTATCAAAAAAAAATTATTTCTAATTATTTTTCGTTAGTATCAAATACGAGCAAAAAAAAAAAATTTCTTGCGTGCTTTAAGTAGTGGAAGCAGCTGAAATCCTCAAAAACTATGTACTTAACTTTTACTTAGTTATAGTAAAAGTAATTAATAATGACAAAAAAGTAATTAACGTTAGTTTTTTTGTACTTTATTAACGTACCGACGAAGTCAGGAGCGATGAATCCGTCGGAGAATTTGCCGTTAGGGTCATCTCTGGATTTACCGTACGGCCAGAACTGTTGGGCAACGTTTGATTGGGTGAGAGTCTGTTTGTTTCCGGCGTCGAAGTTGGAGTCACCGAAAGTGAACAAAGCCACCGCCGGGATATTTTGTCCGGCAACGATGAGAGGGTTGTGGAAAAGTGTAAATACCAAAAATAACCCTAGAACACTTGCCAAAGTACACTTCCCTGCCATCGTATAGAGAGTGAGAGAGAACAGACGGTAAGATTGAATATTGCTTGTGTGCTTCGGTACATAGACCGGGTCACTATATTTATATTGCATGAATATTATTTTTTGATAGTAACGTGTCCCGCGAGGCTAATATTTCTAATACAAGTATGTATTGGTGAAAGTGAAGCGAGTAAGCCAACGATTATTGATCATAGTTAATATGAATCAGTGATCACGTTCACATGATGTGATTCGCATCTGACGCAATAGTACTAGTTTTTAGTTTTATATAATTATATTTAATTAAGTAAGACATTCAATATTATTAGAACTAGGACCGTTCGTTTACAAGACCAAATCAAGATTGAAAAGGAGACTAAAATATCAATAAAAGATTCCAAAACATGAAACGGAACCTCTTAAATAAGCTCACCAACATGATGCAGAAGGCCTACACGTAAAGGCAGTTACTTAAAAGCACTAGCTGGATTATTATTTCTTAAAAAAAAACACTCTAACTTTTTTTTGACCAATTTTTAACTTAATAATCATTTAAACTTTACATTAATATTCATTTAAACTTTACATTAATATAATGGAATATTAACTATCCATTTAGAACATCACAAACCTCAGTTTATTTTTTTCTAAAATATAAAAAAAAAAAATTTTATCAGTGGACTTTGTTCCAATCTATATCTATATAACATCATTTTCTATTTTTGAGAGATAGTATAGAAAATGTTATGTGTTCTTCTAAATTTAGAAGTAAAAGTATTGTCAGGAATAGTTTTTTTTTTGGTGTAAATGTTAAGATTTATACCAGGCTTTTCAGTTTTACAAAGTTGTAGAAGACCACTTATTACATTAAAAAAAAAGATAGTTAACATGGGTTTACGAGTTTTGTCTATGAGTTTAGTAGTTTTCGATATAAATTTATCAGTGTGGAATCAATCCATGAAACAACAAGACAAAAGGCCCACAAATTGGTCAATAAAAATAGTTAACAACAAAGAGAGTTCAGAAGCTATAGAATAAAAAACAAAATTGCTTACATGCATACACATGAGCCAGATGTATAGCTCAGGGAGCATTATATTTATTTGAGTCTCACGATAAGATTGTGATAAATAAAATAACAAAAAAATAGAAACATCAATCTTAAGAATCGTTTTAATGGTGAAACAAAAGGGAAAAAACTGAAATACTCGATGATTTTTGGTCAGTAAATACTCGATGATTATATATAACTCTTAAAGCAATTATATATCTTTTTTATGCCGTAGTGAATAGGTTGTGGAGAAGATCTTGTAGAATAGCTTGTCGTAAGATAAGTGAGTCGTCTTATATGTTTCACTTTGCCTATGAATCAACACAGCAATAGATATACAGAGAGGTGTTTGGCATGTTAATGACTATTTTGTTGTTCGTTTCACCTTGGAAACCAGTGGACTCTCTCAAAATCTCGAAAATTCAAACTATTCTGGTTTGGGTAACTTAAAAATCTTCCGAATTGTTGCTATACAAGGTTAGGCCTCAGTTATGTTGCATCAGGCCTTGGTGAGCCTATGCAAACTCACAAACCTCGCCTTAATCCGACTACTTTGGGAGAAGCAAAGTTGCTAACTGAAATTGAATTTGAAAAGCCCCTCCCGAAAAAAATTACCTTGGATAATAAACAAGGTAGTATATTTTTAGTAGATGTTGACTACACTTGAATTCCGAATATTTGTAGCAGATGTGGACAGTTAGGACATAAAGAAAAAAGATGCCTCCTAACAGTTCCTCCAACCTGTGTGGAAACAAGTTTCATTGAAGATCACTCAAATGAACTAGAGGTTGAAACTGAAAAAGAACAAGCTCAGTTCAACGTTGTATCAGACCAAAAGATGGGTACAAGTTGAAAACTCAGGAATAGAAACACAAGATGGTGTTGAGCTGAAGAAACTTTCAACGCCACCAAGCTGCCCTACTCATTCTCTGATAGCTACTTCTCAAAAGGATAACTCTACTATTTTCTGTCATTCATATTTGGATGCCAAATCAACTTCAGTCTCTACACTAGCAAGTTCATTATCTGCTCAGACTTCTCTACAGATTATGGATGATATTCCATCAGATATTATCATCAGTGAGGGTATTACATCCTCAGAAAATGATCCTTTAACCATGACCTTTCTTTGGTTTAATAGCTCTTTCTTTGCTTATTTTATGTATCCAACTTTTTAAAACTATGTGATCTAACAAATCACATCTTGTAATTTGTCTTTTTAAATTGAATGCCTTTTCACAAAAATAACTATATCTTCTTATTGGTTTAATTTTACTTTTATTTTTAATTAATTAAATTAACATACATTATTTTATACGTACGAGGGCATCTCTTAGGAGTATCAGCAATGTTTTTAGCTTTTCTGGAACGGTTATTAATTTCTAGTTTTTCTCTCTTTGTTGCTAATCATTTCAACTCTTTTTTTAATGAACTTATGTAATTGAATGGAAAAAAGATGAAAAACAGATAAATGCTTTGAAATATATTAAAGTGGTATATAAAAGTCAAATAATTTTACAATTAACCTCAGAGTCAGCAACACATCCAACGCCAAAGCACTCCTACGGCTTCCGCTATTAAGATAACAGAGGGTCCCCCTGGTTTTCCTCCTATGTTTCCTGAGCTCTCTAAACAGGATCAAAAGATGGCTTTGATGTATATCTCCCATGCTGATGAGACTGAGCGTAGGGCAAGGATTGAGAGAGTGAAGCAGGGTATAGCAGATAGTGCAGCTGAAGCTTCGGTGAGACTCACCAGAATCACAAATGAATTGGACAAAGGAAAAGGCCATGTTTTTTCTTACCAGGCAAATGTTACAGCAGGGAAGAAACAGAGGTTCCTCTTGCAAGACGCTCCTTCCACGAAGAGTGCTAGACTGGCTAATGAAGATGAAGCCGACTCCTCACTATCACTCCACTCCTTTGCTTCTGCTCCTACTTTGGTTCCGACGGGTTTTCAGCTTGGCCCTTCTTCAGGGGGGGGGGGGGG